TCACCAGGAGAGAGTCACCTGCTCCCCACTCCCCATCTCCCAGCTCCAGTCACAGCACCAACACCCAGGAAGGATGAAAGGAGTGTGTGTCCAGCCAGGTTGGTAGGCTCAGGGATTACCACCAGCACCGATGCTCCCATCACCCCACAGTCCTGCTCCAGTGAGTGCCCACCCTGAAGGAACAACTGCAACCCCCAGGAGCTCCCCTGGCACCCCCCTGTAGCCCAGAGCACCTGGGTCAGGAAAATAAATCTAGGGAGAAGTCTAAGCCAGTGGTTCTGGCCAGGTTTAATACCCTGCCCTGGCTCACTGGGTAGAGTGAAAGACAGGCAACAAGCACCCCAGACACCACACACCTCAACTACCCCTCCCCTTTGTGCTTTACACACTCCAAGGGGAACTTCAGATCAGTTCACTTCTCAAGCAGAAGTTGAAGTGGCTCTTCCCATCTCATCCCTATAGCTTTAATGCACATTTTACAGTACTAATTTCAGTTTCTTTTAATTGATTAGTCAAGAGTGCAAAGTTACTTATTTCTTAGAGAACCAGCCAGCTCACAACAAGGATATTTCAAAGCCAAAGGTAGTCCTTTTTGTAAGGGTAGTTGGAAAAGTACTAAATAGGTGAATTTTCATTCTTAATTTTTACAGAAGCAACACAATTCTTGTAACAAGCAGTTTGGGAAACCCAGTATGATGGAGATGTGGAGGGGGAAGTGAGTATCCTACATTTACACTAAAAGCAGAACCACAGAAATCTGCTTTTTGTAGCATAATTACTCTTAATTCATATATAAAATTACATCTAGGTCTCTGTTAGCTGTACTCCCCTCATTTCTATATTCTGCCTGATACCTGCCTATACTGAGCTCTCCAGACATTCATTCCAACTCACTTGATCCTTTGAAGCTGACAGTTATCTACAAATTCAGGCACTGAAGTAATTTATTCTTTTAGAAGTGTTAAGCATTTAAAACTTGCAACATCAGATTGTGCAAATATTCAAATTTTCTGGAAGAAAAAGAAAAGGAAAAAGCATTTACCTTGATGTCTACATTTATGTATATATTCTCCCCCTACACACTCTTATCTAGAGGCTTTTCCTCATGCATGAGATTTCCCATTTTTCTCCTTGTGCTTTCCAGGTACTTTCCACATATTGTGACATAACAGCTAAGTAACACAAGAAAAGAAACTCAAATTACCTGTTACCATTTTATTCAAATTACCTTTCTTATTGTGAAAGTTTTCTTCTGTAGAGACAAAAGCATTCACCAGCAATGTCAAAGGAAATTATTAAAATTCATCTAGCAGTGATGCAAGAGTTTTGTGCTGACCTGCACTAACACAAGAAGAAACCACAATTTACCAGTTTGGACAGAAGTAATTCTGGACTTTGCCTCTATTTGGTCTCATCAAAATCAAGCGTTACTCCCAGTAAACAAGACAAACACACCCAAAATGGAAAAAAAAAAAAAAAACCAAAAAAAAAAACCCAAAACCCACACAAACACTTCAACGAGTTACTGTGGTTCTGCATGTGTAAAATCGGGGGTTTCACTGCCAAGACTTGTTAGAAAAGAGCAACCAGAAAACGTTTGCAAAACAGATTACTATTATGAAGGGCATTAACAGCTATTAGTAACAGAATATACATCAACCTACTGCTTTTTAAATAGTCAATATTAATTGGCAACCTAATTTGGAACTGTTAAGAGACCTTGCAGACACCATTTGTCAGGTCTAAGCTAACAGTAGTTGAAAATAGGCCTGATAAGAGTTACTTCCTTGTCATTTCCTTTCAAAAATGGCACAATGCTGTTTCAGCGACCAAAGTAATTTTATCTCACAAGTGTAACTCCGAAAATAGATTAGGCCTTATAGAATGATTTTATATTTATGATCTGAGCTATTGGGCAGACCTCATGCGAAACTGGACTTGCAATTCACAAGGGCTCTGGACTGCTCGGAAGGAAGCAAGATAAAGGCACAGGGAAATATGGGGGAAGGAAAAGAAAATACTGGGTGAGAGGTCTGGCACCTCTCAACATCACTGCAAGCTTGCCAAGTCTCATAATTTCATCACTAGACTTCAGAAATATCAAAAGAGCTATCATTCATTTTTTTAATTCTACCCTGTCATGTAATCAGGAGAACAGATGCTAAAAGCCAGCCATTACCAGGAAGTCACCATGGCTAGCATTAAAACAAGACTATTTCTGCACAGAGTGGACCATCTATTGTTGCTTTAAATGGTATCTAAACCCCTTAAATTGCTGTGGCAGCACAAAATGTGGGAGTGCATCAGACTGACTTGTCCTGAAGAAGAAACAGAAAGGAATGGGTCGGGAAATATCCATGAAAACTAAGCAACCAAGGGAAAACATTGACAGGAGGCACAATCAAGACCTGAGGGCATAATTGGGGCAGCATCCAGATGACTCTATGGAAGGATGAAAACCTAAATGTAAATGCAGAGAGGGAATGCAGAAAGGGAGCAGGAAGTTAAGAAAATGAAATAAATGAAGTAACACTGATGACATCTTTAGTAGCTAGGAATGGTTCAAAGAATGAGTGACACCTGCAGCCTTGAGAAGGAACATGACCAGGACAGACTCTTCTTGCCATACAGAAGGACCAGGAGTAGGACAGTAGCATTTCTCCAGCCCAGGCTGCTGGGGAAAGGATAAACAAAAACCTCTTGGAGAAAGGAGAGTAAAATACACCCATTCCTAGATCAGAATTGAATTTTACACTGAGAAGGTACCACACAAAATGAGGACAGAATATTTCCTTTTAGAGGTGAAAGATGACAGCCAGTGGGAAGTGCTACTTCTTCATCAGAGAATCTCATTTTAATGCCAATCCAGCTGCTGGGATCCATCTCACAGTTTGCACATGCCTAGGGCTGGCAATAAAGCAGTGGTGAGAGGAAGTGTCATGGAGGTGTCATGGCCTCAAGTTGCAAAGCTTGCTAGAAACAGAGCCTCCTCAGTGGCTGTTTTACAAGACAAGGGGAGAATGAACTTGCACTGGGAGACACAGTGCAACAGCAATCAGGTGCTGTGCTACAAGAGCTGCCCATGCTACAGCACACAGATTTGTCAATATTTACTCCACAGAAGAGAGCAATACATAAAATTACACAGTGTAATGCATGTACACTATATAATACGTGAGAATAATGTCTTCAGGAAACACCAGCAGCTGAATGACTGAATTGTTGTCTCATCAAATTGTCCCGCCCCAATTGCTGACGCACACAGAAGTCCCCAGCATTGCTCTGACACCAGACAAACAGACTTCTCAGTGAACTGAATCTGAACATGAGCACTTCTACCTGTCCCATTCTAGCTATGCTTCTTTTCAACAAGAGCACACACACGCTGGTGGCAGTGCCACAGTGGGCACCGCTCAGCCCCAGCCACAACAGTGCCGCTGGCACGGTGCGACAGCAGTGGTGCAGAGGGGTGCCAGTGCAGCTGGGCTGGAAACTCTAAGAGGTCCTGAAAACAATTTTTAATTATCTATTCTTGGAGGACAGAAGGACTGGTTGGAACACGTGCAAGTGAAGCAGCTTGTTTACATAACAAATGAGGTATGCGAGGTGCTTTGTGTAACAGTGCTGCACACTGCAAGCTCTCTCACCTGGAGAGCTGTTTTACCAATTATAGACATACAAGACCACCTTCGTGCAGGGAGTAAGCCTTTGGATAAAATATTCATAACAAGATCCAACAGTGGCATGAAAGAGGTTGGTTTGAATGGACAAAATGTCTAATACTTGCAAAAAAAAAAAAAAAGAAAAAACAGGCAGCCACCAAGTCTTTGATTCTTGCATACACCACACAGTGCCAAGAGTCATTCAAAGTTTTCAGTTCTTGCTTGAGCAGCCACCCTCCAAAAATAAATCCACCCTCCTTGGGAAACAAAACTTATATGAAAAAAGAAAAAAAAAACCAAAAAAAAAAACCAGACAAACCAAAAAAACTCAAGAGCATCTACAAGAGCTAAATGTCTGAATCCAAGGAAAAAGTCATTTAGTCCCGATCCTCATACAATGGCATCATGCATTTAGCTGTTTCCATGACATTTTCCAATCAAAAGCCAAAAAGAACAATAGGGATTTTTGAGGCCTGTAAAACTGTACAGAACTCAGGAAGAAGGGGGAGACAAAAATGAAACAAACAAGCGATGGAGCTGGATGGCTGCGGTGTGGATTGTACACTGAAAGACAGTGACAATCTCTAGGTAATACTGCTTTTGCGCTTGGCTCTTTGTTGTTTGAATATGGTTCTCCCAACACCTAAGAGTTTTACAGACATCTACTCCTCTCTAACAGTGGAAACCTCTGAAGTAGAAACCATAAGGAAAAAAGTATCCACTTAAACACTACCTTTTGAAAACGCCATTAGAAGATAAATTTTAAAAGATCAGCAAACTTGCAGTTTCTTCAGCACATTAGGGACAGCAAATATTAAGTTCAAACTCAAATCTAGAGCATTTCTACACATATATACTCTTGTTCTAATAAAAACCAGTCCAAATTTGAGAATACTGCAACAAGAAAAACAAGTTTTAAAGTGTAGAACTTAAAACAGCTCAAAGATCTTTTGAAATTTTAAATATCTGGGGTGGGGATGTGGGGGGAGGCAATATCTCAAAACGAAAGAAAAACTTCTCTACATCCTCTGTTACTTGAAAAAAAAAAAAAAGCTCTAAAATAATAGCATGACTATCTTGCTAACCACTGTGCCTGCAAGGGCATGGCTTTTTGTCTTCTAGCCTTTGTACATCAGTTCACCAGGAGAAAGAACTGATCAGAAGCTGTATAGAACAGAGATGGTTTCTGCTCAGAAGCTTAGAGGCAGATTTAACTTAAAAATAATTATCACAATTATTTGCAGGGTTCTGCCAGGGAAAAAAAATTATTCTCAACCCAAAATCCATCTAGTGTGACAGCTTTGTGTAGGAACATGTTTATCTTACCCTCTCTCTTACCTTATCAGACACATCTCCTCGTCCTATTCAAAATACAGCAAGTCATGAAATTCCATCTGCAACAAAAGGAAAAGCCCATTAATACCTCCTGATAACCTTACAACAGAAGTCTAATATGCAGTTCAAGGAAAAAAAAAAAAGTTAAAGTTCGCCTGCCATTCCAGTATAATCTACACCCCAGGCAAGTCACCATCCCATTTGTGGCAATCTGGGAAGCATGGATAATAAAGGTATTAAAGATGTTGTAACATGTCCTGTAAGAAACACACTCTTCCTCCTTTGGCAGGGCTAACAGAGATGGCCAAAGCATACAGGTTGTCCTGCAGAGTCATAAGTAAGTCTGCAGCATCCTCTCATTAAATTAAATGAGCATCAAATTACATAATGTGAACAGTTGTAAAATGAGACCAACGGTAATGGCTAGAAATAATCCCAGTGGTGTTATACATTGTGGAGACAATTTTCCATCAGACTATCAAACCTGGGTAAGCAGGACTTTTTATCTCCAGGCCAAGAAACTGTCAGCATGCAGCCTCTCTTAAAAAACAGTAAAACATGCAAGAAATGGATGGAACAAAATTATCATGCTAAAGTTTAAATTATGCCTACCCCAAACAAGTACATTTAATTTCCTAACTCCTTTACAGACCAACCTTTCAAAGCAACCAAGGTGTTTTTATAACATAACTAAACATGACATAGTCTGGCATACTTGGGGTCAGATGAAAGAATACCACACACCTAACCAAAAAATTTGCAACCTTAAAATTGTCAATTAAATTTACAGTCTGGATAGACTCAGGCTTGAACAAACACTTTGCCACAGCACTATGAAGAAGAGACGACATGACCTGCAATCCAGCCAGTCCATGAGTCACTAGGGCAGAAGAGAAACCTCCCATCTGGCAACCTGAAAAACTCTACGAGTTTGCCTAGAGTGAAAAGTGTGAATCAAGGACCTAAAAAACCAAACAAACCAATTCCTTCACACCCTTTCAGCCCTTCCAGTGTCCTGCCCAGGAAGTCCAGAAGCCTGTTAGTCCAGTGCCAGAGTGGAAAAGGTCAGAAATGTTCAATGGTGAAATGGCATGCAAGAGAATACTATTAAAAAACCAAACAAACAATGCTTAATTTTTCAATCCAATTATCTGTGGGGAGATATAATGCGAATTAAGGCGTTTGAAGCAAAGAGCTTTCATGTTTGCCTACCTGTCCTGTAGTGATGCTGCTAACGGTATCCCTGTGCCTAAAGTAAGAAAACAGGTGCACCCTCACTTGGTTTTTTTTCAACACCGAGCAGCTGCAGCCATGATGTCAAGAGACCCAGCAGGAACCCACAGGGGCTCAGTGCCACAGAGAAGTGACATCCTTCACCACACTGCACTGCCATTTCCCCACCAGCAAAATGGGGATGGGTCCCCAGCCAGTGTCCAAATTGCCAGCTCTGGGGTGCTTCCTTTTTCCCCTAAGTGCTAAAAAATCATCCTGTAAATACCATTTTCTCTGATTATACTGATAATTTTTTTTTTTTTGGCATTACCAGAATAATATGACGACTCATGACACCACTATGGGGTTTTTTTTTTGGTTTTTTTTTTTTGTTTTTTTTTTTTTTTTTTTTTTTGGTTTTTTTTTTTTTTTTTGTTTTTTGGTTTTTTTGTTTTTTTGTTGTTGTTGTTGTTGTTTTTGGGGTTTTTTTTGGTTTTTTTTGGGGGGGTTTTTTTGGTTTTTTTTTTTTTTTTGGTTAGTTTTTTAGTTTTTTCCTTAGGAAGAAGAGATCTTCTGTCCATGCTACAGAAAGACTGAACAAAGAGAGCCCACTTCAGTATCCCTACCCTCCTATTCCCCTGCCAACCCAGTAAAATTCCTCAGAGCACAACCTCTTCCTGGCTATTTTCAGAGCAACTGTAGCAATCATACAAGAACAATGGGGAAGTTTGTTTTACTCAAAGAGTAAATGTTTTGCAGCTTCCAATGTAAATATTTTAATTAATGGATTTTTTTTAACTCTCTACTGCCTCACTTCTGTTCATATTCACGCAGAGCAACCAGGACAGAAGCAGCACTCAACTGCTGTAATACAGAGGAGAAGATAATATAACATAGAAAAATGACATGCTGACTTCAGAAAAAGCACCTCCATAACCAAATCAAAATTCACTGGGCGTTTGCTGGGACAGACTTATTATAAGAATTTAAGAGAAGCAAGTCTGCTCTTGCTCTGTGTCCAGCTAAGGGCCCATATTAGTTCCCACTGAGACTGTGGGCCTATTTTCATAGAGAGCTTGTAGAAAACCACAACCCAATGTATTTATGAAACACCATTATGCCCAATGACCCAGATACAAGGAAAAAGTGACTTATCTTTTTGGGAAAAAATCAATATGGTGGTTCTTAACCACTCATCACTGAGCATCCACTTCACAGAAATGCTCAAATTTCCTCTTAATAATCCATAAACCAAGTGTTGCAGACTGTCAGCAGGATGGGACTCAGATTCACTCTCTCTAGGCCAGATTGTTTTGGCCACTACAGAAAGTGGCTGCACTGAGATGCCAAGCCATCCTGCACATGCTCCCCTGATGGTTTCTGGATCCAGGAGCACCCCAGGTACAGACAACTCTTTCTCTTTCAAAAGTGCCTCTCCCCTAAGAAACTCTCTTCCTCCTCTGCTCCCAGATACCAGGATAAAGTTTGGATGCACTATCAGCAGATGGCTGGCATTCAAGATTTTTTTTCAAGTTTCTTTTTCAAATGAAGTAGGACACAGATGGTGACGTTCCCGCTTTCCCAAAGCCTGGAACATGAACATAGACCTGTCTGAGCTCGGAAGCTCAAACCCATAGTACGTTTCTGGAGAGCTGCACCAATTACTGCACGGACCAGTTTAGCCGAAAGCAGTCCCACACACGGCAGTATTTCCTTACCCCTGCTTTTATCTGAATGGGAGGTTTTGTTCTTCTTGTACTGACCTCACCACACTTGATGCCTCTTAGCAACATCCTTCCAGAAGTTCAAACAAGCTCTACAGAAATTCACTTCCACTGTAAGCAACAGACATGGTAAAATCCTCATTGTACCTTTCAAAAAATTACCACATCTGTATTCTTCCACCACCTCAGGCAAGGTGCTGGATGCCCACTCATAAGGCTCCCTAGATTCTGCAGTTCTCTCAACTGCTGTCCACACTGGCAGCTCCACTGCCTCCAAGCCAGTGGCAGTGGCACTTGGCTCATCACATCCCACTAGGCAGTGGCTAGCACTGCAAATGATGAGAAGAGTCCTACTGCCTTCCCTCCTGCAGGAACTACTAACTGAAGAAGGAGCAAGACCTCCCATCTCCATTCCATCCAGTACAAACCTTCCACAGTGCTACATTAGTAAATGCTGACTGTCAGCCACTCCCCATTTAGGATGGGGAGCAGCAGGAGAAAGAATACCTGACTCTTATTTGAGAGGGACAAATTTGGCAGCAGCAGGAGATGCTGGGGACAACGAGGCCACTGCTGTTCCTGCACAGGCAGGCTGGCGTCGTGCAGAAGGAAGCAGGAGCAAGCAGATACACCACTCCTCATGGTGTGCACCCACCGCAGTACCTGACTCCTAGGTAGGGTAAATGGGCACCAAAGGACAATGGCAGAGAGAGCTCCCCTTCAAGCAGGGTCATTCAGAAAGATGTGTTTGCAAAACCCTTCCTTATCCCTCACAACACCACAAAGTGAAAGTAAAACTCCTCATCTTACATTTGAGTGTTACCAACCATTGCTATGTACTGATACTGCAGACGTTTATACAGTACTTCAGCTTCTACATCAGAAAAAACTTTCCTTAAAAAACACCCCAAGATAAACAAACCCGTCCCCTAATTTCTTTCCCCATACTCCCCATCAGATTTTTTGGCTATACATGCAACATTAAAACAGAGAGTAAAGATCAAAGAAGAAAGTATCTCTGCTTGGAACAGACTTCTCAAAGTGGGTCTAAACATACTTTTCATGGAAGACCCAAGTGAGGAGGCAGACTTTCCATGAAGCCCTCAATATGCACAGACTCTGGAAAAGGAGATCTCTGAGCAAGCGAGCAACCTAAGGCTTATGCCAGTCCTTCCATCTTCCTCTCTAACCTCTTCTAGGGAAACACTGCATTTGACTTCCTCATATGCCTACTTAATCAGCAATGTGAAACTTGCACAACCTTACCGGTGTCTCTGTGGTCTTCCCATCAGGGCAATGAGTAGAAACACACCCCAAAGGAGCAGAACATTCATAAGACTCCCATGCCCACGGGATGGAAAAGCGAGTGGGGAGAGAACAGATGAATGTTAATCTCTCCTCCTTGCCGCCAGCAGCAGTCTGTACTCTCCCACGCAGGCAAGAGGGAGGCTGTACAATTTGTTGAGGCCAAACTGTCTGGAAAAATGCAAGGAGAGAAAACTGATGGCAAATTCTCTATCTCTTCTTGTACTGTAGGGAAAGTGAAAGTCAGTCATAGAGTTGCTGATAGAACATGAGACCACAGGGTCTTTAAGGGGCTGCTTTTATGCAAACCGCAGCGCTGGGCTATGCAGAACTCTATCAGTCCAACATATTCGCTGCCTAAAATATTCTGCTCACACACACTGCTTGCAGTCTGACTTCTCAGGGAAAATACTTTCATTGGCAGATTAAGGTTTTTGTCTGATCATAAGAAAAGGACCTGATACCACTCCATTAGATGTTAATTCACAAATGTAGGACTTCTCTCTAGCCTACATGACTCCAAACACCTACTTCCTAACCACGAGTAGATGGCCAATAAGCACATGAAATACTGAGCTTGGAGCAGTTCCACCACAGACACTTCTTTAACTGATCTGTGCCTCAAAGGTGCCTGTCAGCACACAGGGCTGTACATGTGCCAAACGAGAGCATGGGGGAGAAGCTCCAAGAAGGAAACAGAAGTTTGTCTTAGATTAGCACAGCTCACTCAAGTGTAGTGCTGTGCTCAGATTTGGTTTTGATTTGCAAACCTTGCTGTCATCGACTAAGAGGATGTTTCAAGTTTGGTTAAAATAGGC